TGCAGGTGAAACGTCAGGAGAGAATGCCTCTAGAACATGGCCATATAGCCCGAAAAAACCTACAACAACCCAGTGATTCTGGCCATGAAAGCCTTCGACAACACATAGAACATATATAGTTTGAGAGGGAAGCAGAAATCTCTCCTTCTCATGGTTCACTTGTAAACTTTCAAACTTGTAGAAACTAGGCATGGATTTTGGAATACCCTATCTATATTCCTTCCTACACTGTGTCTTTCATCCAGCAGCTGTTGGAAGCCCCTCACAGTTCCTAAAACTTCTGTTTGTTTGCCATTGAATGGGAGGATGGCAGCCATCAAGACATAGATACACTGTGTTTTCTGTATTACGTAGTAAGCTTGGTTGATAAAAAATGGTTCAAAACTCTTTTAGGGTGTGAGGGTGCTGGTGGTTCAATTCTAAAGTAACTTCTGGGTTTTTTTTAAAAAAAATTTTTTGAAATTTTCCAAAACTTCTGAAACTTCTGAATCACTTTGTTAATGCAGGCACGCATGCGCAGTAGGAACAAAATAGCACTGGAAACTTCAGGGAATTCTCCCTCCCTCATTTTTAGACCAATCCCGATGAAACTTACTGCAGTGGTAACAAACATGGATCACTGTTAGCTCACTAAATTTCATAACCTTTGAAGTATCCATGGATGTTTGGTGAATTTTCAAAGTTGTTATAAAAACATTTTTTAATAATAAAGAAAATCTGTTACTGGTTTGAAAGTGTTGTTTCCTGTTTCACTGGGTGGTCTTTACTTTGAAAGTAGTTGTTATATTCCAGAAACTTTGTTTGTGTGGCACAAACTGTGTTAAATTGGTGGAGAACAGAAATCATAGCACAGACACCATCAAGGGATACTAGAATGACCTTCTTCTGGTCAAAAAGGCACCATCCAAATTCTCCTGATATACATTTGCTTCATCTACTGAGTTCGAGGGGGCCCTCAAGACACATCCTTCTGTTTATTCCTTTTTGCAGATGCAATCAATTATTTTATTTTATGTTTACTTACCGACGAAAAGGGCTGGTGGGATGTGGCTGGCTACCTCAGTGTGTTGTTCATGGCAATCAGGCCAAAGTAAAATGATGGATTTTTAAGCCATTTATGTTTTCTTGGCTTTGCAAAAGTTGCTCACTGCTTTGCTGCCTTCTTTAGACACCTTTGTAGATTCAGTTTATTTTATATTTAGATGAAGACTGCTACAGACAGCTATTTTTGGGTCCTTCAGCCATTTTGGCTAATGAGCAGCAGAGCAGTGTTGGAAATGTAGTTTAACAGCAGGGCCTTTTGCAATTTCTACCACTGGGGGCCTGGACTTCACAAACTACAGTTAAAGATGGCTGTGATTAGCCACACTCACCTCATCCCTTCTTGCGTCGCCAGGGGAAAGAATGAGACTTTGAAAGTTTTTAGGCTTTACCAAAGTTGCTTAATGGTTGTGAAAATTAAAATAACATTATATAATATTTCCGGGGAGGGGGGGGGAGGTAAGTGGTTCAAATTTGGATTCCCCCCCCCCCCCCACCTTTCCTGCATGGTTTAAAACTACATTGGATGTATAAATTCATATGTTTTAATCCAACTTTCAGTCTTTTCCGAATGAACCTATCCAACCCTATTACATAGACTGCTCTGAGGAGCTACTCGATGGCAGAAAAGCCAGTTAATAATGTGGTGTGTGTTACAATGGCTATGAAGTCAGATGAAGACTGCAACAGATAACAGGCCACCAATTGTCACGGTATCCATGCCATTGGATTAGATCCTCTTTGTGTGTTGTGCATTGGTCACTGTGCACTGATACCACACATTAAACATATTTACACACAGACATCTTTCAACCAAACCAAAACCAACCAAAGTCCCAGGGTGACTGACAAGTTACGACTGAGACAGGACTGTGGAATCTGGAAGTTCCTGGCTACAGAGTGGTCCATAGGTGGTGGATATGGACTTTATCAGTGAAAACCACTAAAAAAAGACTCTATCTATGGAAGTCAACCATACTTGACCATGACTGATTGCTGATCATGATTTTTCCCCATTGCTCTTGGGCACCCATTGGCTACCCATTGTAATGACCAGGCATTATAAACTGTGACAGATCTGAGGATCAGTTTCAGGTTTATGTCAATTCTCATGGGCTGCACTTTTTTCTGTTGCTAGAGATATTATTGTGGCAGCACTATGTGGAAAGTATACATATTAGCCAGTTTTCTATCATGGTTTGATATTATTAGTAAACACACTTTGCAATCACAGCACTATATAGACTTAGCATTCTCCAGAGGGGCTGGATTATGATTCGGGGGAGGGCAGGTTGAGATCCGATATTTCACACAATTGACCCTGGGCCTCACTCAGTCTGGTACATCAAATACCCTGGAGATTATTCACACTATATCAGAATTGAGGAGGTTTGGTGTTGCTGAGGATCATATGGATATATGTATGTGAGTTTTAGCTTGATTAATTTTGGTTCATTTCCTTTCCGCTTTTTTTAAATTAGATTTCATCACAGCAGAACCTAATATGCCCTTGTTCTATCCCCATTCCATTATTTTTGTACTGCTCACAATCACCTCCTCCAGGTTTAATCATTTGTAATTTCTTTATAGGCTTGTTTTAGTCCATTCGCTTCATTAAAGTTTAATTAAAGGAATTATGGTCTCCTCCCCATCATATTAGCTTTATTTCCATAAAAAAAACCCTTTAACACTTTGAAATATTTCCATAGAAACTGTAAAATACATCAAATTGATTCCAATTGTCAAAGTATGTGATTTCTCAGATAAGCTGTGATTGGTCATTGGAACTTCCCTGATTCATTTAAGAGAAGAGAGAGCACCTGGCACTCTCTAGTCCTTGGTCACAGGTGGGCTGAGAGATCGGCACCAAAGAATGCCCAGCTAAGAAGTCCCAAGTGGTGAGGTGTCTGTTTCTTTGCTCCTTCCTCACTCTGAGAGCATTTTACTGTGTAAGTGCATGAACATTTCCAGAAATTTAAACAGTATGTAAATGAGGATGTGAGGTATTTGGTGTTTTAGAATTTATTTTGGGATCTGGGTTGCAAAGTGGACTTGGGGGTTGGGGGCAAAGGAGGGGAGTTCATGCCCAATAAAAAATATAGATAGGGGAGTTTCACTGTGTCTTCCCCAGTGTCATGAATTGTATTTAGTTTCATAGATCATTATTGTGACTCAATTCAAGGCAACTGATGAAATCCTCCACCCCTTTCTGAGAGTGGAGAGGGGAAAGTTGCCTGAAGAAGTATCTGCAGGAAGCAGGTGAATGTAAGGGCAGAAGACCAAGCACTCCTTCCCTTCACCCAGGCCTGTAGCCAGGATTTTGATTTGGGGGGGAAGCCAGGATTTTGATTGGGGGTGGGGGCTGAGTCTGAGTAAGAGAGGATCTACCCTAGCAAACCTTTTGTATCATTATCCCAATACCCCCATGCATATGGGATACATTGAGCATGGTGATCAGATAATGATATGAATAAACATAAGTTTAAATAATGTACCAGTAAGGCCTTTTCGCAGATCACCATGAGAATTTCGGGGGGGCTGAAGCCCCCAAAGCCCCCCCCCCCCCCCCCCCCGCGGCTACATGCCTGCCTTAACCATACATGAGAACTGTGATATACCCCCTAATCATGGTACCATATCACTTAAAACCATGCAATTGGGTTATTTTTTTCAAAGATGAAATGTGTTTAAATAAATATGATACAGATAAGGTGGCTTTGGAGCCATGAGTGACACTTTTACCATGCATTAGGGCAGTGTTTCTCAACCTGGGGATTGGGACCCATGGGGGGGGGTCATGAGGGGATGTCAGAGGGATCACCAAAGACCATCAGAAAACACAGTATTTTCTGTTGGCCATGTGGGTTCTATGTGGGAAGTCTGGCCCAATTCTATCGTTGATGGGGTTCAGAATGCTCTTTGATTGTAGGTGAACTATACATCCCAGCAACTACCACTCCCAAATGTCAAGGTCTATTTTACCCAAACCCCACGAGTTTTCACTTTTGAACATATTGACTATTTGTGCCAAGCTTGGCCCAGATCTATCACTGAGTCCACAGTGCTCTCTGGATGTAGTTGAACTACAACTCCAAATGCCCACCAAACCCTTCCAATATTTTCTCTTAGTCATGGGAGTTCTGTGTGCCAAGTTTGATTCAGTTCCATCGTTGGTGGAGTTCAGAATACTTTTTGATTGTAGGTGAACTATAAATTCCAGCAACTACAATCCCCAAATAACAAAATCAACCCCCATCCCCAAACCCCACTGGTATTCAACCTTGGGCATATTGGATATTTGTGCCAAATTTGGTCCAGTGAATGAAAATACATCCTGCATATCAGATATTTACGTTATGCTTCAGAACAGTAGCAAAATGGCAGTTATGAAGTCGCAACAAAAATAATTTTATGTTTGGGGGTCACAACAACATGAAGAAGTGTATTAAGGGGTCGTGGCATTAGGAAGGTTGAGAAACACTGCATTAGAGTGTACATAGGTAGAAGGAGCATTGTCATGACCCAGCTCTGGCAGATTCCTATAACTTCAAATCGAATTAACTGCCTGCTGATCAAATTCAGATAGGAGAGAAAACCCTGAAGACATGGTTTACATTTTGGAATAACTTACTCAGTTGTAAAAATCACACTCCTACTAAAAGCATGTGAATGCATAGACTTGATTGCATATTTAGACTTAATATTAGACTTAGATTTGATACCTTTGACTTTATTACCTACTTAGACTTGGCCACATTACATGCAAAGGGCTTAAAAAAGTAGTATCAAATACAAGTCCTACTGATTTTAATAGGTTGACTCAAAGTATGAAAGAAATCTGGTACCAACGGAATCTAGAACCGATGGATTGTGCTTGCTTGTAAACTTTTAATCTCGTATTTGACTTGTACATGTTCAATTTGCTGTTTAATATCAATATCATCACAGATCCTTCTGACCTCGATTCCTCTAAGATGTTTCCTATCATCATGAAGACTTTTCCAGGATTCTTCCTCATCTTTGCAGTTCTAAAGAGTGGTAAAGATATGGGATTTGTATCTTTTCTTAGCTTGAAAAAAATAGTATTTTTCCTGCCCCAGATACACACAAAGATTTCAGCATTATTCTTAATTTGATGTTCCAACTAGAAATTATAATTCATGCAAAAGTACTGGAACTAATATTTTGGCATTGGAATCAGAACATTTTCTCTGAAACCGATTGGGTAGAAGTATTGCTTTTTTCAGTTTTTTTCACCCCCTGGAAATACGTTTTCCATGCAAGAATAGGTGTATGTGCATTGATAGAAAAGATTTGACTCACTTTTAAGATTGCCAATTATAACATGTGGTTTACACAGTCAGTAGATATGACAACACCTAATCCTTTTGAGGAAGATCTCTGTTGTTATATACAGCAAAAACGATGCAAAATACAACAGTTGCACATATCTGTACAGGTGTATATGGATTTATTTCCTTCTCTTCTTTTCAGGCGAGTCTCTGGATTGTGAAATTTGTTCCAGGAGAGGGCATATGTGTTCTGGAAGGACACTGACCTGTAGGGCTGACCAACAAACCTGTGCTGCAATATTAATTGAAAACACACATTGTGAGTCTTCTGTTCAGATAAATGACTTTCCTGACTTTTCAATAAAATGTTTAGGACCCCGTAAGAGAGTAAAGCAAGGAGAATACATTAAGATCATAATACTGGAAATATACTGGTAACAAAACGAGCTGGTGTAGTTGACTACAGGATTAGTAAAACATAATTGCTTATGAATGTATTATTATTATTATTATTATTATTATTATTATTATTATTATTATTGTAAACCAAGTATTCTCCACTTGCATATGCCCCATTCCTCCTCCACTCCACACCTGAAACTTGCTGTCATGGCTGTGCAGGGGCCAAGTGAAGAGGAAGGAGGGCATTATGGAGTCACATGGCTCTAACTCAGTGGTTCTTAACCTGGGGTCCCCCGATGTTTTTGGCCTTCAACTCCCAGAAATCCTAACAGCTGGAAAAAAGACTGGGATTTCTGGGAGTTGTAGGCCAAAAACATCTGGGGACCCCAGGTTGAGAACCACTACTCTAGCTGTAGTTCCCTGATATGACCTACTACACATGGTGTTGGTTTTTGTGGAATGAAGAAAAACGCATAATTTGCTGCTTGGGGGAAGAGGAAGTTAGCCAGACAAATAAGAGATACATGGAATGTGATTTTTGTTGAAATTGGCTGACTCAAGTAAGGCATGGATCAGCGAGAATTTATATTTCCCTAGTTTGAGTAAGTGAATTGCTTATTTGCAGTGGGAAAACCTCAACTCACCATAAAAAAAACCTGCGAGCGCAGCAGAGTTTGTAACCCGCCTTTGCAATCTCTGAATATGGGTCGAGGGAGATATGAACGGACAAGTGTCGTCTGTTGTATAGGGGAGGACTGCAAGAGTGCTGCTCCCCGATGTAAGTATTCTGGAGGTTGACTTTTCTTTAGGTCTGGAATAGCACCCTTCCAGAAATGGTTGGGGAACAATTTGCAGGGGAACTAAAATCAGCAGCTAAGCAATGAAAAGAAGGCTGTCTAGTTCCAATCATTGCTTTAGATGGAGTCCCATGAGGACCTCTCTCAAAGCAATTGGAGCTCTCTTTTTCTGATGACAAGCAACACAGGTTGAACTGCCATGCTTTGGGTAAATCCAAGAGGACAGTTTGATTGCTTTCCTTCAGAGATCAGCTGCAATATTCAGAGGAGCACATGATAAGAAAGGTTTTGCTCTCAAGTGCAATGCACTGTTATGACTCACAAGGCCAAGTAACTGATGTAAAGCTCACTAAATCCATTGGTGATGGAAAACATCTGCTTCTAATGGAGTAAAAACTGCTGGAACTGGTATGTTGATATAGGCTTCTTCTACAGAGTTCTGTTAATCCGGGGCCATTGTGGAGCAGCCTCTGTTCCCCGATACACACACACACAGACACATCTTTTTAGTTTCAGCAGAGAAGAAAAGGATATCCACAGCTCTTCTCCATTCAAGCTTTTCATCCAAGTGCCTCCTGCTGCATGTCCTATATGAAAAGAGCTGGATGTGTATCCATCCCCCACCAGTTTTGACTGTAGCTGTTGGCCTTTTCATGAGTGAATTATATGTCCTCTGAAGTTTTGCAATGAAATTATGTGTGGATGCAGACTCTAGTGAGCCTGCATATACTTTGTACTCCATCCTGTACACATATCCATTTGGAAATATACCATCTATATGGGTATCCAGTTAGGATTTTTATCTCATTTTGGAAAATGGGGTTGATGTTTGATTGCTCATGTAGCCTGGCTTGATGGGATAAATCAGAGATACCATTTTTACCTGCACAGATGATTAACCCCTTTTATTGTCTTTCAGTCCAACCAGGGTTCATCAAACCCAATGGGAAGTCCTGCCCGGCCTGCTTTGCCACTAGCCTTTCTCTGTGTGGATCCGCCAGAGTAGATTGTTCTGGAAATGAGTTCCACTGCATGAATGCAATTCATGAAATGTATACAGGTAATACTTAATTTTAGATTTGCAAGGATTATGAACAGGTATCACATAATAGACCTATCTAACACAAACTATTTGTGAGCTAAATGATGAAGAATGTCAGACCTGGTGCATTTGATGCAGGCCTGCTTCAGTTAACAAAGCCCCTGATAACAAAGCTCCTTTTTACATTGCCTTTTTGAGCCCCACGTTCTTCCTTGACCTCTATGAACCTGGCATTTGGGGGGTAGTGAAGGACAGTTGGAGAAAGAAAGTCCATGTTGGGTTGCAGCACCAAGTATGACATGAACAATGCAATAAAGCCCAGTTGGAAAGAACTGAATTATTTTCTTGTTGATCCAGCCTTAACTATTAATGCCTGTTTACAACAGGCAGAGTAAACAGTAGCTGTCTCCAGAATCCTTTACTGAGAAGCTAAACAGGAAGAAACACGAGGAATAATAAACCTGCTTCACCAGCATGTTTTAAAGCATAAATCTATAGATTTGATCCTTTGTTTCTAGTTCATCAAAGTGGAAATCCTAAGAAAAGTTGAAGTGGGGGAAAGAAAAAGAAACCTTTGGGTAGTCATGTGCATTCAGGAGGCCCCGGTGGCGCAGTGGGTTAAACCTCTGAGCCGGCAGGACTGAAGACCGACAGGTCGCAGGTTCGAATCCGGGGAGGGGCGGATGAGCTCCCTCTATCAGTTCCAGCTTCTCATGTGGGGACATGAGAGAAACCTCCCACAAGGATGATAAAAACACCAAATCATCCAGGCATCCCCTGGGCAACGTCCTTGCAGACGGCCAATTCTCTCACACCAGAAACGACTTGCAGTTTCTCAAGTCACTCCTGACACGACAAAAAGAAAAGTGCATTCGGGACCTACCTTGATCCGTTTTGTGTCCTGGCTTTCACCAGGGGCCCCAATCCCTTTTTGTCTGAGCATCCCAAAATTGGAAAGTCAGATATTTGTTTTTAGTTTTTGTTTCTATTATTTGGTGGAGGGGGGTCTTCACCCATAGGCCCAAAGAGTCCAGGCCTACGGATGCAAGCTTCCGGCTCCTTAGCGCTTGGCTGCAGGTCCTGCCAGGTTCAGACGTGTAGGCCAGAAGCTTGCACCCATAGGCCCAAAGTACTAGGGCTTATGGGTGCAGGCTTTGGGCCTATGCACCCGGGTCTCGCAGGTCCAGCAGCCAAGCACCGAGTAAAGCGCACTCCTTATTTGGCATTCAGCTGCAGGCCCTGCCAGGCCCCATGCAATCCATCTTAAAAGTAGGTCCGCCTGCCTTTCGTATCAATTGCATTTTTGTTTCAGGAGGGGCCTTTCCATTTTGTGCCATCCAAATGGATGGAACAAAACAGAAACAGTAATGAAACAAATGGGGCAAATTTCAGGCCATGACTACCTCTGAGTATATTTTGGATGTCTGCAAAAGTCAAAACATTTTTCTTTACTTACACAAGGCTTGCTAGATTTGGTTGTTTCATTTCATAGGTAAATCTTTTAACCTTTCGACGAAGGAAATTTTGAATTGCCTTTCATTTTATTGTGTAGTGACCTATTCCTTCTCATTCTATGTTATTTCTCCCTCTGGGGACACATTTTCTCTTTAATAAGTGGTGCTCAGGAAGACATGGATTTGTTAACTGAAGCAGTATGTACAATTGATTGTGTGTGAATGTATGTGAATAGGCCTGTCTGATGGCTATGGCCCAATGCACCAGTCGGTAACACATGATTGGAAGGTCACTGGTTTTCTTTGCCCCACCCACTTTGCAACCCTACTGCCCCCAGTGGCTACTGCCAACATTACTACTTTCCCACAGATTTAAGGCATTGAGGTGGCAAAATGAGAGGGCGCCCTTGTGTTAAAGCAGAGTTGTACACCTACTTGGTGCTATCATTCTGCACTAAAGCAAGAAGTTCGTTTCCCAGAAACAGTTTTAGAAAGTAATTTCAGGAACTAATCAAATTTTGACAGTGGGGCAAAAAGTCCATCCCTCTGTGTATTCTAGTAGAAAGGTTAATTCATCTCCCACTCCTGATGTTGCTGGACCTTCATTTGCTTTCCACCATAGTTCATAGAGGTTCCTCTTCAGTTTCTGTACAATGTGAGATGGGGACCAATACTATTGTTTTTCAGAGATATACAATTTTGGAAATCTTTGTTGATGTGAGTGAAGAATGATTATGAATCCAGTGTTCCAAATTATTTTTCTGACTGCCTGTCTTGGCTTTCTTCTCCAGATTATGGTAGGACGACCTTCTACAAAAGAGGCTGTGCTACTAAAAAGCTTTGCTACCAGTACGCTGGATCATATATTAAAAATCTTGGTATAGATAATCCTACACCTAATTGTACTGAAGCAAGTTAGTTTGACTGAAATCTCCCTCGTTTGACTCCATTTTCCGACATGGAGTTTGTATTGCACCTCTTATTTTCAATTTTTTTATTTTATCAAGTACCCTGCACATACAGTAATTGGAAAAAGCAACCCAGTGTGTAATATGCACACATAATGTTAACTAATACTATCAAACACTAAAAACTACTAAAACAACTACTAAAACAGACTTATACATAAATTACACATTACTAGTAGAAAAGAAAAAGAAAAAGGAACTATTTACAAGTTTAGATGCAAGTTTAAACTTGCAATTTCAATTTTAATATCAATTGTATAAATGCCTTATCTTCTTAACACCCATAGAACATCTCACTTTCTACTCATTCATCAGAACTACTAATTCTGAAATCAGCAATGAATATCTCCCCAATTATTTTTCGGAAAGAAGACAATTAATGGTTCCTAGCTTTTCTTAAAATTATGATTTTTCTCTAATGAGGATAGATAATTTGTCTTGCTGCAATAAACATAGTATGTAACAATATTTTTGTTGCTTCTCTTAGGCCTCATCTACACTGCCATATAAAATCCAGATTATTTACTTTGAACTGGATTATATGGCAGTGTAGACTCACATAATCTGGATTATCTGATCTGATCATCTGGATTATATGGCAGTGTAGATCCAGTCTTAATCTTCTTCTAGTCATCACAAGAATAAGAACTTGGGTTTTAATTGAATCATCTCCCTGAAAGGTTGTGTTAATCCCTTTGACCATACATTTTCCATTGTCCAAAACCACTAGGGGGAGAGCGCGGATGAGCTCCCTCTATCAGCTCCAGCTCCCTATGTGAGGATATGAGAAAAGCCTTCCACAAGGATGGTAAAACATCAAAACATCTGGACATCCCCTGGGCAATGTCCTTGCAGGTGGCTAATTCTCTCACACCAGAAGCGACTTGCGGTTTCTCAAGTCTCTCCTGACACTGAAAAAATAAATAAATATTGTATCCAATTTTTTGTGCCTTCTCTAGCATACAACTGTTAGCATTATCTTTCTTCTCTTCAGTTTTCACAGCTTTTCTGTTCTGAGTTGTGTTGATCCCTCTCTCTTTGTACAGCCCAGAAAAGGGAACTAGTTGGAGTTCCAGAAACCCTCCATGTTGGCTGGGGATTCTGAGAGCTGCAGTCCAAAAAGTAACTTTTCTGAAACCTGCTCTTCCAAAAATTCACTTTCCCTCTTTAGTGTGAGTAGAACATTCCTTGCCACTTTCTACCCTGGCTGAGACTGCTGGGAGCTGCAGCTCAGAAAGATCTGGTAGGACACATCATTTCCACCACTGCCTTAGGATCTTCAAAAGAAATCTTGAAAAATTATTCATCTATCTATCTATCTATCTATCTATCTATCTATCTATCTATCTATCTATCTATCTTGTTTTGCAGTAACTAGGAATAGGATTTCTCAAGGCATTCCAAGTGCAGAGCTTGTTGCCTTGCAAATTGTTTGACTTTTCAGTGCCTTTCTGATATTTGAATTGCATTATGTTAAGCATTCCTTTTGACTGGGATTCATTTTTTAAACCTGTGAAATTTTAAGCCTAGCGCGGGCTGGATCTACACTGCCATATAATTCAGAATATCAAAGCAGATAATCCACATTATCTGCTCTGAACTGGTTTATGAGTCTATACTGCCATATAATCCCGTTAAAAGCAGATAATCTGTGTTTTATATGGCAGTCTATATCATGTTTCCATTTGTAGTCACCTTAAAAACTTGTTACTGAACCTATGTTGTTGCAATAAGCAAATGTACTATTCTATAGTGATGAGTTATGATTAGACATGTGAATGTGAAAGGAAAATTGTACTGGGAACACTAATTTATTCTCTGAATGCTAATCTATGTTGATTAAACTGTCCAACATGCTCTGTAAGTCTGTCATTCTTTTACCTGGAGCAAAAGAAATAAAGCAAAAGAAATAAAGCAGTCGTATATTTGGGAAATGACTGAAAAGCACTTCTCAAAAATCACATAATCTCAGTCTTTATCTGTCCCTGGGGATGTTATGGGGAGACTCATCTTTGTTCTGATCTATCATTGTCGTACACCAGAGCAGGAACACCTGTGACCTTAAACACCATACCAGCTTGATAAAATCAGCAAGCAGTTAAATGAAGAATATATGTAGCAAAGCACTAAAAAATAGCAAAACCTGTAAAGGTCCAGTACAAGGAAAATGGTCCAAAACCTCAAAGAAAAACAAGATTCAAATGTATATAAACATCCATGAAACTAGGCATTTGAAATCATGAAACTAGATAGCAGGAAAAATTCTCGTGAACAAAGCGAGAGCCTGGAGAGAACTTGGTACATGAAACCAAGAGCACTTGAAAACAAGACTATGATCAGTTTCCAACATTGACCCGAATGAGGCAACACTTTCTCATACATCAATATAAGGCTTTTCCAGGTTCTAAAACTAAAAGGAGAATGTTTCTCTTGACCTGGCTACCAGATAACGGTTTGTTATCTTTCTTTTGCTGTAAGCGAATGGACCGTCTGAGTCTTTGCAGACTCTGTTTCTGTTTACAGAAACGTTGCTTTCTATCTAAACGCTCCTCATCAGCAGTCTCTGAGCTCTCATTCTTTTCTACACCTGACAAAT